CCAGGGGCACGAACCTGTGAAGGGCGGCTGAGTAAAAATTCACCCCCAGAACACGATTTGTGGGGTTCTCCTGTGGCCTTCAGACCCCTGGATGAGGTTCGGCGTGAACCGAACGCTGCAGTGCCCGGCTGGCCTCGCAAACTTCAATGAAGCATTTCGCTTTGCCGGTTAAAAGAGTCTGGCCCATTTTGTATTCCTGTAGTGACGTTAGCTGCGCACGGTAAAACATACTGCTTTTTCCCGTCTTCGTAGGTTATGTTTGTCAGGGGGATTTGATTTTTTTAAAAATTGCCTGTGCCCTTTGGTGGGTTGCATGCGGCTGCGTTAAACCTGGAGGTGTTAATACCCGCCCCTGCCTCTCCTTCTCTACTCACAGCTTACTCCCTTGCTGGAAGCCTTCCTCCGCTCTGCGGGCTCTTGAGGGGGGGAGAAAAGTTGAGGTGGCAAAGCTACATCTTTTGTACCCAACTAATTTCAATGGCTGGAGTATTTTAATTAAGTAGGTGGTTATTAAGAATAGCGTAGCGTCTTTTCTGCGTTAGGCAATACCAAATGCTGCTCTCGAGTGATGTGCATACACCTGTGTGCTTTAGGCTTGTCGGTTTATAACCTTTTTTCCCCCAAAGGCTCTGCGGTGTATTTTGAGATCACTGTTACTCGAAGAAGATCATTTCTCGCTTCGTGGAAGTGAGATGTGGAAGAGGAGCTGAGCTGGTACTCTGCTGTAGTCCTTTCCTGCTTAAAATTCTCTTTTGGCTTTTCTCCTTCAGTGCTTCCATTGCCGCCTCTGTCCAACAACACACATGGTATTTAGTAGACATAACTGACAAGTTCTATTTAACATCTCTTTACATATGACAAAGCAGAAATCCCTCGTAGGAAAGTCTGAATTGATTGCTGCAAAAGTTAACAGGAGAGCCAGTTCCCACGTTCCGCCTTCTTTCACATATTTTCCTTGCCTGTTCTCTCGGTGGATCGCTCAAGTCCTCCTGTTTGGTTTGGGCTGGAAACGTTTCTCTGCCTGGTGGACCTCTTCCCTATAACTGCACTGTAATTTCTGCCCATGAGCAGGCTATGCAACTCGCTTTACCACATATTTTTTCTCTTGCCTCATATGCTGATGCTGCTTTCTGCATACTGTGATTAAAATAACTTTTGTGTGTAACTGCAGCAGGGAACGGTTGGGGTTTGGATGGAAACACTAATTCTCTGTTCGAGTTATTACCAAATACCTTTTTTTTTTTTGGTCAGATTCCCCCCCGCCCCTTATCTAGCCAGTCTCAAGAAGATGCTTTCTGCTCTCAGAAGTAGCAGCAGTAGGATGTGAAGAACACAATTAGCTTTTAATTTGATCCTTTATCCCCCACTGTCATAAAACCCCTATTACAGATAACTTAGCCTGCAAACTACTTTGTTTTTGAAACCCCTTGAAGAAAAGGGGAAGACTTGCTCAAGCCAGTATAAAACCGTGGTGTTACTTGATTAGCCATGTAACAGTTTTCCTTTGCATCATCAGCTCTTACTGTTGGAGGTGAGATGGTTATGGCTCAAAAGTGTCTAATCATTGCTTGATCATCGGTGCTGTAAACCCAGGGTCAACAAAACCCTTCTGAAACTGAAATTCCCTGTGAATTTCAGAGGTGGTGGGTATAGATTAAATATGTTTTTTGGCCAAGACCCTTAAGCGTAAGGACATAGCGGGGAGAGGATATGTGTTTTATTTTAAGCATCAAACTTGGTTGCTCCTAATCCCTTCCCCCGCTGCTGCCAAGACACCAGCTTCTCGCCATTGACTTCGAGAGCTTCAGCTCCCAAGTTTAGTTCCCTGATCATACCCCAGCTACGTGCCTGAGTAAGTAGTGTGAATACCCCCTGTGACATCCTGGAGGGGTGGGGAAGAAGCAGAAGACAGAGAGGCAGGAGGAGGGTAATTTTTCATTCCCGCTATCTGCTCCAAAAGCTGTGGCAGCAAGCGGGCTGATAAGAACCCGAGAGCGGAAGAGAGCCCCCGATCGAGTTTAGTTTCCCCGTTTATAGCACCCATCCGTGCTGTGGATGCCTCTCGTAACATAACTGCTTTTGAGGTGAAACTTGGTCGGTTTGTTCTTTGCCCCCATCTTCGGGAGAGCTGTTGGAGAGCCTCCTCTAAGTCTCGGAGCAATCACTGAATTTCCATCCTCACGGTGTTTATGGCTGGTTTGTGTAATTTGTTTTTGTTCTGGTATTGCCGTTTGGTTTAAAGGGTTGTTTTCCCTCCCTGATGTAATTAGAGGGAGCAATCGGATCCCCTCTTGGCCACTTGTTTTGATAGGTTAAACAAGTCAAAGTCTTTAAGCCTCTTCCTGTTGTTCTCTTGTCAATATTCTCAGGATTTCCTTGTCAGTGAAAACCTTTTGCCTTTACCCATCAAAACCTTTTTAATATAAAGGGAATTTTGTGCATCTGTGTTTAGCTCTTAAGCTTCC